CCAACGGCTAAAGTAAGTACCTCTGTGGCTCCGGAATGGGGACGCGTCTGCCAGGGCTGCCGTAAAAAGGACCATGGACCCGGGGCTTCAAAACAGAAAGGATTTTCTCCCAGTTCTGGAAGCTAGAAGTTCAAGATCAAGGCATCAGCAGCTGTGGCTTCTTCCCAGGCCTCTCTCCTCGACTTACAGAGGTCTGCCTTCTTGCTGTGTCCTGAGTGGTTTTTTCTCTGTGCCCTAGGATTCCTGGGGTCTCTTTGTATGCCCAACTTTCTTTTTCTCCTCTCATCTCTCTCTTTTTTTTCCTTCTTTCTGCGATACTGGGGATTGAAGCCAGGGGCACTCTACCACTGAGCTACATCCCCAGCCTTTTTAATACTGAGACAGGGTCTCCAGAAGTTACTCAGGCTGGCCTTGGACTTGTGATCCTCCTGCATCAATCTCCTGAGTGGCTGGGATGACAGGTGTGGCCACCGTGCCTGGCCAACTTTCCTCTTGTAAAAACACGGATCAGGACGGGTACGGTGGCACACACCTGTCATCCCAGAGGCTGACGCAGAAGGATCATGAGCTCAAAGCCAGCTTCAGCATCGCAGTGAGGCCCTAAACAACTCAGCAAGACCCTGCCTCTAACAAAGTATAAAAAAGGGCTAGGGAAGTGTTCAGTGGTTAAGTGCCCCAAGGTTCAATCCTCCGTACCAAAAAACAAAACCAAACCAAACAGCTCCCACTGGTGGACTGCAATAGGGCTCACCCTCATCACTAGTAGCAAGTCTTGGACCCCTCGTACTTCTGACCAGCTCATTGTACATGGAGGGTTCCCTGTACATGACCCCTCCCTTGGGTTCAATTATTTGCTAGAATGGCCCAGAGAGTGGGAAAGCATTTTAGTTACTATCATTGGGCCTCATTTCAACTGGATCATCTCTCTTTCTTTTTTTCCTGGTGATGCTAGGGTCTCAAAGCAAATGTTCTACCTCTGGGCTATGGCCCTGGCCCTCACTTTTTATTTTATTTCTTTTTTATTCTATGTTTTAATTCTATTTCTACATTGCTTAATTTCATTACAATAAATTATTACTTTAAAGGTTTTCATGCACTTCAAGCCAAATGTCCCCTGAACATCCAGCTCCTTCCCAGGCCCTCTCTGAAGTCCAAGGGCAGTGACAGCCTCCCTCAGCCACTCACCAGCTCCGGGAACTTCCGGCTCTGGCCTACCCAGGCCTCTCTGGGGAAGGCACTATGGGTAAAGAGCATCCTGGACCTGCCTGACCCTGTCTGGATCATAAGGCCTTTCCCAGGCACCTGAAATGATCCTCAGACCCACCCTGTGGGGAGTCAGATGGAGGAGGGGTGTCCTGCTGTCCTGGCTCCTAGTTTATAGCTGGAAGCTCTGGACATTTATCACCTTGTCACCTGTCTGTCCTTATGTACTTCTCAACATAATGACTATACAATATGGTCAATGAAACAGGCAGTAAAATGAAATGTAGGCAGGTGATAAAGTCAAATAGGAAGAGACAGTCACAGCCTGGATGGGGTGGCATGCCAGGTTATTGTCACCCAGAGCAGACATCAGAGGACCCAGAGCAGGAGGCAAGGAAGCTCATCCACTAAATGAAGTAATAAAAGGCAGAAAGACAGCCGGGCTAAGATGGGGTGGGCTGACAGGTGACCGATTCAGGGCCCAGTGATGCCTCGTACCCAGCAGGAGGAGTTAGTGTGGACACATTCCCCTGGGTCCTGTTCTGGTTTTCAACTGCAGGTGGACCAGTACCGGGAAAGCCTCATTGGATGTGGTCCCCAACAGATGAGAGGCCATGTGGAACAGAACCGAGGGACTCAGGTGTCAGCTAGCGCCAACTGCCCGCTGCATGAGCGAGGCCATCTTGGATGCCCCCATGAGATAGCGAGATGACTGTAGGCTGCAGGTGCAGGGGTGACCAAGGTGACACCAGGTGATAAACCATCCAGCTCATACCAGCCTAGATTGCTTAGAATGGTTGTTATTTTATTTTTTAAAACATTTATTATATTTTTAGGTGTAAATGGACACAATACAATGCCTTTATTTTTATGTGGTGCTGAGGATCGAACCCGGGTCCCGCCCGTGCTAGGCGAGCGCTCTACCACTGAGCCACAATCTCAGCCCATGTTTGTTATTTTAAACCAGGAAATTTTTTTGGTTTATTATGAAGCAATAAATAAGTACACAGTATAAGAGGACCTAAATTCAGAAATAGTGTTTGAGGATTTATAAGAATTGATTCATCATATTTTTTTCCCATTCATTTTGTAGTGCTGGGGATCAAACTCAGGGCCACTCACTTGTCTAGGCAAGAACCCTAATACTGAGTTCCATCCCCAGACTTTTATATATTTTTCTTTGAGAAAGGGTCTTGCTAAGTTGCCCAGGCTGGACTTGAATTTATAATCCTCCTGCCTTGGCCTCCTGAATAGCTGGGATTACAGATGTGTGCCATATGACAACCCACCACCACATTTTAGAGTCTAGTCTATCAGTGTGCAGGAGTTGCTTAAATGATCAGGAAAAATTTGTGCTTGTTAGATGTGTAATCGCTTCTGTTGGAGTATAAGGTGTTTGAGGACCCACTGATGTATTTCCACTCTGTGAAATGTAGTTTAAAATCTATTAGGGAATTTAATTACCTAAGTTTATAACTGGCATTTATTTTAAGAGGAATTTAATCTGTTAAACTTATGAGTTAATTAAATATTAATCAAAGAATAGTGAAAGTAATCATTCTTATTTTTATGAAAATTGTAGATTTATAAATAGAAAACTAGATTTGCAAGTTACACTTGGATGTTTAAGAAAATTTTTTAATTTATATGTTTAATAAATACAGTATTAATTTAAACACTAGCAGCAGTAGGTAGCCTTTCTCTGCATGAAAGTCCTCTCCGACATTAAAAATCATCAGCTGATATGCCACAGCTCCACGGGGAGGATTCAGTCTTCCAGAGACTTCCAATGCCTTTGCTTCTGGGGGGTCCCACTGCCTGCAGTGCCCTCAACGCGTACCTTTGGTATCTGGCAAAATTTCACTTTTCCCCAAAGGCCCAGATCAAATTCTAGGAAGAGAGCCTAGCCTAGCTAGAATCATGACCCAGGCTCTGACAGACCAAGCCACGCAGGGCTATTGGTTGGGACCTTCACCATCCCAGCTACCACTTGAGAACAGAGCGGAGACCCAGCATAAACATGGAGAAGGGGCTGCTATACAGCGTGCATCCCGCTGGAGGAGGTGCCAGGGCATGCAAGGTTTTCAGGCCCAGGTGAGAGGCGATCTCCTGATTGGGCACCAAACTTTCTTTGGCTGGGATCCCTGCCTTTCCTAGCATCCACGTCCCCAGACCTTGCCAGCAAGGAGAGAAACGGCAGAATAAAGGCCTTCCAAACACGTCCACATCCTAAACCTGGAGCCTATGAAAATGTTGCCCGGCAAGGAGGGAATTAGGTAGCAAGTCCATTGACGGTAAGTAGTGAGGTTATCATGGATTATCCATCGGGCCCCAGGTAAACCCAGGGGTCCTTGAAACAGGGAAATGGGAGCCAGAGGAAAAGCCACCACAGAAGTCGGAAGAGAGAGGTTGCACTGCTGGCTTCCAAGCTGGAGGAAGGGACCACCAGCCAAGGAATGTGGGTGGTTTCTGGAAGTGGGAAAAGGAACAGCTCCTCCCCTGCAGCTTCTGGGAAGGAATGTGGCCCTGAGGATCATTCGATGTCAGCAACTTGTGTTCAGATTTCTGTCTTATGAAACCTAGAGATGAGATAAATTGGTGTCCTTTAAGCTACTAGGTAATTTGTGGTAATGTTACAGTACCAATAGGTCCGAACTCAGAAGGTCAGCCCCCTGTTTTGTCAATCAGTGACATCTGCAAAGAAGACTTATCAGATGGGGACCAATCAGATCTGGGTCCAAGTGGGGTTGGGGGAGTTAGTTCTTGGCCCTGGCTTCTGATTGGCCCCATTATCCTCTCTACCAGGACGCGGTCACTGTCAGGGTTTGGGCTGGCCCACCCTCCAGATGATTTACTGTCTGAAGTGCAAGGCGGTGGTCACAGTGGGGGTGCCACCAGCACCCACAGGGCAGATCAGCCACCCTCACAGATGGCCAGGGCTATTGCTGCAGGGGCAGGTTCGCAGATGCAAAGCGGCTATATGGGAACCTTCTCTGGAATCCTGGCTTCTAACTCCCAGGCACTGAAATTCTCACCTCATCTCCCCACCCCCACCTCATGCTAGGGATCAACCTATCAGGGCCTGTGCCTGCTACCTAAGCCTCCACCGCTGGGCTGCACCCCCAGTCCCATTATTATAAAAATGACCTTAATAGTATAGGAAAATATTAAAATATTTCAATTAAAAATCTATCTGTCCTAATGACTGTAAAAAGTTAGGGAAAATATAAAGGTAAAAATCGACCTAATTCTTCCACCCGAGAAAGCCACAGGGCACCCAATCTCTGCCTTCAGATTCCACTAGGTCCCTACATCCCCGGTTGCTCTAAATTCGGGTTCCAGCTGGCTTCCGCCCCTGGGGCTTTTTAGAAGGCAGAGGTTTGGGAAAGTCGCCACACCCGGAATACCGGTTGGGCACCTGTCTTCTGCCCACCGGCGCCCGCCGGCTAGAACTAGCCTCTCCTGGGGTCTGGGAGGAGATAGGGAGCTGCATGGGACATGGAGGCGGCGCCGGGATGACGGTGGAGAGAAAAGTCCGGGTCTCTCCATCTGCACCGAGGGCGCGGCGCCTGCTTCCTGAGTTGCGTTCGGAGCGCCGAGGCCCGCGATCCGCGGAGGGGCCAGGGGCGCAGAAGCGGGGCGGGCTGCAGCAGGAGCCCCCCGTCGAGGGACCCCGGACCCGGACTGCTGGGGGCGGGGCTCTCGCGCGGGGGCGGCGGCGGCCGGGAGGGGCGCGCACGTGTGTACACGAGTGCGTGGGCCCCGCGGGCGGGCCGGACTACAAGTTCCAGGGTGCCCAGCGGCGCGCCCGGGTTTTCTGGCCGCTCCGCCCGCCGGCTCGAAGCAGGTCGCCACGGGCTGGCACGCGCCACCCGGTCCCGGAGTAAATAGGGAGAGACTCTCCCGAGCACCTTAAATAGAGTCCAAGTGGGCGGGCAACTGCCCCGCGCCGCCTGCTCATGTCTCTGCTAAGCCGAGTGTCCCGCCGCCTGGCACAGCTGCGCGCAGCGGGGCAGCTGCTGGTCACCTCGCGCCCCCGGCCCGGCCCCTCGGGTCCCACGCAGACCCGCAGCAGTGCGTGCGGCCCTCCGGCGTCCCTGGGCGTTCCCGGCCCCCGCGCGCGGACCTCAGCGGGAGTTGGGGCTTGGGGGGCGGCGGCGGTGGGGCGGAGACCCGGGGTGCGCACCTGGGCCCCCCTGGCCATGGCGGCGAAGGTGGACCTGAGCACCTCCACCGACTGGAAGGAGGCAAAATGTAAGTGGAAGCGCGAGGAGCGAGGGTGGCCCACGTGGGTCTCCCGATTGGTCAGCACCCCGAGCAGCCCCTTCCACCGGGAGACCTGGGGAACTTGAGGCCGGGTCTGCCCTGAGTCGGACACCTCCCCCACTCGCAGCCACGCCCCCTGCCTGGTGCCCTGCCGCACGCTCCGGTTCACACAAGACCAGGTCGCGTCCCCTGTCAGGGGCAGTGTGAGGACCGCGGCCAAACCTTTGGAATGGGTCGCTGGGTACTCCCAGAAATCATCTGGGACCTTACCACTTTAGTCCATTGTGCAGGAGGGAAACTGAGGCCCAGGGCCAGAACCCACTTCTCCAAGGTCACTCCGCGATTTTCGTTGAGCTGAAGTTAGGATACTGACCATCCCCATACTTGTAGTTTGGTTCTCAAGTGGTGGCATTTGAGACCAAGTGGAAATAGCTCTGGGGCAGGCCGTCCATCTAGGGGGTCAGATAGCTCCACAGAGTGACCTCCCTAGGCAGGACTGCCCTGCTCTTAGCACCGCCCGGCTTAGGGCCTTCCTGGCTACGGTCTGGTACTCTTTTGTCCTCATTGTTGGCTTCTGGCCACTTGCAGCTGTCTGTGCCGCGTTCCTGGGGGCAAGGAGGTTAGGGGGCTGGGGAACAGACGGAGATGGGGCGTTGCTTGTGAGAATCTTTGACACCTTCCTTCTGTCGCCGCCAAGAGTCAAACTACTCCTCCCCCTCTGTACCTGCCACAATTTATGGAGGGGCCATGAATCCCTGGACTGGGAAGGGGACTAGGAGCTCCAAATAGCCCTGTTGGACTGTCCAGCTGCCCCTGCCCTTCAGGGCCTGCCCCCTGGGCTCTAGTGACGACTCCTGGCCGGGTCCTCTTTCAAAAGAGCAAGGAAGGCGCCTCATTGGCTGGGCTGCTGGTGGGTGTGGCAATGGAGCAGGGCAAGCTGGCTTGGGCCTGGAAGTAAAAGGAAGGTGGCTATCTTGGGGCTGGCGACAGTAGCAGTAGAAATCAAAATGATTTATTGCTGTCATTTGGATTGTGTTGTATACCCTGGATCCTGAAACACCTGCTGTACTGGGAAAACCAGAGGCTGTCACACTGTCAGCCCTTGTCCTAACCACCCCTTAGGGCAGGAGTAGGGGTGTCAGAGACACCTGGCAGAGGAGTCACTGTCCTCTCAAGGAGCCACTCTTTGTCAGAGAGGCGCAAGCCAGGATGGTGGGAAAGAACTGGGGAGACAGGTAGTCCCTTGCACTTGTTCTGGGGTCTGCTGCGGCTCTTAGGACCCAGGCCCTTTTCCTCCCAGCCCCCCATTCCATGGTACCCTTGAAAGCAGCTGGACCTGTGGAAGCTGGTGGAGCCCGGGGTGCCCAGGCTGCTGTGGCTTCCGGGGGCTCTTTCCTCTGCTTGGAGCTGGGATTTCCAGCCATTCTTTTGGCAGATTGCTACTGAGCATCTTCTATGTGGCAGGTAGCCCCACAGTGCCGGGGATTTAGTGGTGAGTGGCACAGGCACCGGCCTGCCCTCATGGAGCTCTTACAGGAGAGACAGTGTCAGGTCTTGTCAGTGCCAGGAAGAAGCTAGAGGGGGCCACTGAGCTGGGGGGGGATGGGGGTCTTGTCAGGGAAGGTGGCCTGAACTAAGTGAGCCATTGTTGAGTGACAGCTGGTCAGGCTTAAAGGACCTGGGGGTCTCCTGCCTCTAACCCTAACCCCCACCCCAGAAGCCCACCCACAGCAGCATGCAGGTAGGTGTCTCCACCAAGGTGTCAGTGGCTCGTGGGTGAGGTGCAGAGCTCTTGGTGTTTGGGCCTCTATTGCTGCGTAAGAATCACCCCAGGCAGTGGCACACACCTGGGAACCAGTAGCTGGGGAGGCTGAGGCAGGAGGATCGAGAGTTCAAAGCCAGCTGAGACTCTGCGTCTAAAATAAAATATAAAAAAAGGGGCCGGGGCTGGGGCTCTGTGGTAGAACATTGCCTAGCGTGTGGGAGACCCTGGGTCCAGTCCCCAGTACTGCAAAATAAATAAATAAATAAAGCGATCCAAACTTTTGTGACAAGACAGCAAACGCGTATTAACTCAGAGTCTCTGAGAGCCAGGATTGGGAGTACCCAAGCTGGGTGTTTGTGGTTCAAGGTCTCCCTTAAAGTTGGTGGGGGTCCAATTAGGGCTGGAGGAGCGATCCCGATGACAGTGGTGGGTTAGAGCCTCAGTTCTTCATCCTGGGGACCTCCCCATAGGGCTCTTGAGTGTCCTGGCCTCCCCCAAAGCATAGGGGACAGAGGAGACCGAAACGGGAGCTGCAGTCCCTTTTGGTGGCCTAGTCGTCAGAGTCCCACACGGCCTCTTCCCACTTTGTTCAAGGATCCAGAGTTGAGTCCGGGAGCCTGGCCACTCTCCAGGGAGGGAAATCAGGACCCAGGCCTTGCCTGCGCTGGGTGAGCACTCTACCCCGAGCCAGCCCAGGCTCTGCCTTCTGAACAGTGTCCTGCCGGAGGTCAGCAGAGCTGCCCCAGCTAGACTGCCCCTAACTGGAGTCTGCCCATGGTCCTCAATGTCCTTCAGTTGTTTTCATTATATTCAAACTGCATCTGGAGCTGAGGTCAGTCCCGCAGCAGAGTGCGCGGACCACACAGCTCTTGGTGGCTATGCATCCATGTACGGCGCTCCCCTAGCTGGTGGCCAGCGCACTCCCACTACCCCTGAGAAACCTGTCACTCTTCTCACTGTCTGTTTTACGTCTTCTTGAGCTCTGTGGAAACAGCATGGCCAGCTCCTTTTACTCCATGTCTGTGGGATCTGTGAACATCATCGGGTGAAGCAACAGTGTGTGGTTGTCTTTTTTACTACTGTCTAATATTCCATCCTAAGGATGTACCATGGTTTACCTGTTTTTCTCTTGATGGGCATTTCTTGTGGATAAAACTTGCTCTGAACATTTTTGCATATATCTTTGATGGACATGTGCTCTCATTTCTCTCAAGAATATAGCTAGATAGGCCTCCAAACGCTTGTCAGCTTGCCTGATATGATTCTTTCTCTAAGATTGGCAGTAACCAAACTCACAAGAGACTGATGTGTAGGTCAGAGGAAGATGTGCAGTTCATGGGTGGGGAAACAGAAGGCAATGGGCTGAAACCCTCATGTGCTTGGGCAGGGGTGCCTCCCGCTGTGGAAAAGCCCAGCGGAAGCCAGATGGTAGCCTTAGGCCTGCTCAGCAGTGCGTGTTCTCACCCAGGGGTGGGTGGAATGGTTTTGGAAGCTAGTCCCAGGACAGGATGGCAAGCTTCCTTCTTGGGAGGGGACCCACCGCCCACTGAGAATCTCCTCACCTGGTTGGCTGCTCAGTATTTCAGTCCGTGCCGTGTGGAGTGCGTGCTCTGGGCCCAGGGTGCCCCTGCACACGGCCCGGTTTGTTCACCTCCACATTCATCGCCCACTTTTCCGGTCAGTAAAGACCCTCGGGCAGGTCTTGCTGGCTGGGAGGCATTCGATCTTTTTTCCATACCTTGGCAGTGTCCCATCTCACTGCCCAGGCATTCATTTCTCTGATTCGGTCGTCTCAGTCCTGGAGTGCCACGTTAGTCCCCCTGGTGCCTTTCCACCATGAGACCGTGCAGAGAGCCACGTGGAAAGGTGGTTGGGTGTGAGGGGCCTTAAGGCGGAACTCTTGGGGACACCTGAGGCCTGCCGTGTCACTGCGGGAGGGGCCTGGTCTTGTCTTCTCGGGCTGACCTGTACGTGGGGGCAGAGCTGTGTGCTAAAGGGAGGGAGCATGGGTGTCACTGGACCTGGGTGCTGCTGCCCCTGCTCCTGAGCCTCGGTTTCCCTGTCTGTGAGATGGGATGGAGATCACATCAGCGGCGATGGCCTGCAGAGGGTCCCGTGACCCCGGTCGCTCAGGTCCATTTTGGGCACAGTGACACTGGCTCCTGCAGACCCTGTCCTTGCACGTTCTGAGCCTCACTCACCCCCCCCCCCCAGGTGGCTCAAGCGAGGGCTCCTGTTCTCTAGCTGCAGATCCCGCGGGCAGGGGCCAGGGCTAATTCAGGCCCCGCGGGAGCTCATCATGTGTCTGATGTGGCCGCTGAACCGGCAAATGCTCCAGGCACACCTGGGAATGGGGGGTGATCTTCCATCTGCCCAGATGCAGCTTGGCATGTCCCCGTGTGGGAGGAGGCAAGCAGGAAAGCTCTGAGGAGCCCTGTGCCCTGTCCCCATCACTCCTGTTACAGGCTTTGACAAGCCCTGCTCCTGGGGGACCTCGGGCACAGGTGATTAATGCCCCTGCCACCGAGTCTAACCGCCACCTTGTCACGGGCACCGGGCGTTATCAGCCCTCCCCGCCTGGCCTCCTCCAGAAGGCCCGCCCCGTCCCGCCGAGCGCCATAAAGACACTTCTTAGAACACATCATTGACTTCTCGCTTTCCCAGCGCGCTTTATGGCCCGGCGGAGCTGCCCCCGCCTGCCCGCCTTTCCTCCCGCCAGCCGCGGGGAGCCTTGTCTGGGGTCAGCCCCCGCCATCAAAATTTACTGCGAACATCTTTTTACAACACCTGTCTCAGTGAGCTGTGAAATACTCTCGCTTCTTCAAAAATGATGGAAAATGAAAATGCATGTTTTACATCTTTTATTAAAAAAAATAAATAAAACTCACTTGTGCTTTACATCTGCATCTGTCCTTCTGACGGGAGGTGGAATATTCTAGATGTGAGGGGCAAGTGCCCAGCCCAGTGCTTCGGGCCTTTTGCACACGGGGGCCTGAGACTGGCACAGGATGACAGATGTCCCCAAGGTTGGCACCCAGCTGGCTGGTGGCAGAGCCAGGGGGCTGTCTCCGGGAAGAAGTGGCATCTTTGGGACTTTGGTAGGGAGAGGAGGTCTTGCAGCTTTGTGTCACTTAGACCAGGCTTCTGTTAATGGGGAGGACAGCCCTGTCTCAAGTTCCTTTCACTTGTGTGACCAGAGGCAGATCCTGTTGCCTCTTCTGTAAAACAAGGCGGTGACCAAGGTCAAAGTCAGAAATAAGTGAAAACAAAGGCAAATCTGTCTAGGAAGCAGGGAAGGGAGAGGAAGGGTGGTGGGGAAGGGACTTCAAAGGAAGAGCAGCATCCCAGGAGGGGGGCACAGCAGGTACAAAGGCCCTGAGACAGGGAGCCACTTGGTTGTTTTGAATGGTGAGTGATCTGGTGGGAGATGGGGGGAGCTGTCCCTGGGCACTGGTGTTTGAGCTGAGTTTTACAGAGGAGGGACAGGATCTGGCTTATGTTCCTAAGCTCCCTGGGCAGCTGTACAAGGAATGGGATAAGGGGTGATGTGGGCTGGGCATGGTGGCACATACCTGTAATCCCAGTGGCTCAGGAGGCTGAGGCAGGAGGATTGTGAGTTCAAAGCCAGCCTCAGCAATTTAGTGAGGCCTAAGCAACTTAGCGAGACCCTGTCTCAAAATAAAATATAAAAAGAGCTGGGGATGTGGCTCAGAAGTCAAGCACCCCTGAGTTCAAACCCTGGTACCAGAAAAAAAGTGAGGGGATGATGTGGAGTTGGGGGACCGGCTGGGGATGGAGCCAGGGTGTGGTGGTGGGGTCGGCCCCAGGGGCATCAAGGGGATAAATCTAACAGGCTCATAGCTGGATGGGATCTGGGGTAAGAGGAAGGGGAGGGAAAGACCTTTGGGCCCAAGGAAGGAAGCGGGAAAGGAGAGCCGTGAGAAAGCACGGGTTTGGAAGGAGTAGAGTTCTGCTTTGCCGATGTGACTTTAAGGGGTGAGAGCAGCCAGGGCCTGGGGAGGGCCCAGGAGTCAGGAGGGGCTGGAGGTGTGGGAAGAGGGGCTGGATCCGTGGAGATAATGTGGGGGCCTAGGGAGGTGCAGGTTGAAAGAGGAGGCGAGGCAAAGGGGAGATTTTCTGTCTGTAGGAGGTCACGTGGCAGGTGACCTTGACCTTGATCTTTCTTTGAATATATTTTTTAGTTGTTGATGGAACTTTATTTTTTTTATTTTTTATGTGGTGCTGAGGATCGACCCCAGGGCCTCACACCTGCTAGGCTAGTGCTCCTCCACTGAGCCTCAACCCCTCAATTCCCTGTGCTAGGAATGCACCCAGGGTCCTGTGCATGCTAGGCAAGTGCTCTACCTCCCAGCTTCTCCCCAGCCTGACCTTCACCTGATGGGGACCCCCCTGGGTGGGCTTAGGGGAGTGTGGGAGGGCCCAGGGGAGCTGGGAGGGCTGGAAGGCAGCTGGGAGGAAGGACCTTCATGCCTGGTGACCCGAGGGAGGGAGGGAGGGAGGACGAGGTGCTGGCAGGTGGTGGTTCCAGCTTGGTGGGGGTGGAGGCGGCATCTGATGGCCGCCTGTTTTCTGTGGCTGGAGCAGGAGTAGGGGAGCTGGCTGGGAAAGCAGCTGGAGGTCTGGGCAGAAGGTGCTGCGGGAGAGCTCAGGAATTTGCAGGACCTTCTGCTTGGAGGTGAGGATTTCCTCCAGTGATCTGCAGCTCCTGGGGATGGAGCAGAGAAGCTGGATCACTTCCTTCCAGAAGGTTCCCTGTTCTCCCCTTTTTCTCAGTCAGACTCTGAACCTCACCTTGCCTTGCGCCCCTGGGCCGGATGGATGCTCAATAAATATTTATTAACTGATCTGCATTCAAACTGCCAGTGAGGGACAGAGCCTGGCTCAAGGCCAGCCTCTCCTCTAGGACCTTCCTTGCCCTCCGCGGTGCCACCTGCCAGCAGACCCGCCTTTCACTGGGTACCGTGCTAGCCCAGCCCACTTCTCATTGGATGCTAGAGGCGACTTTCCAGACCCCCCGGGGGGTTCCTTTGTTTGTTCATAGTGTTGCCTTGCTGCCCAGCTGCTCTCAAACTAGGGGACTCCAGCGATTGTGCTGCTGGGCCTCCCGAGTTCCTGGGCTGCAGGTGCGCTCCACCGAGTTCCTGGGCTGCAGGTGCGCTCCACCGTGCCACACCTTGTTTTAGAGAAGAGGGCATTGGAGGCTTCAAGCCCAGAGGGTTGCTTGAGCTCCTTCAGCCTCAGTGGCCCCCCCACGCTAAGAAAGGGGCAAGTGGGAGCCCTGGAGGCTTCTCTGTCTGCTGCCATGTGTGCCCGGGGGAGGGCAGTCCTTTGAGAATAGGGTGCAGGAGGATGAGTGTGAGGGATGCTGAGTTGGAGGGGCCTTTCTGTCCCCTTAGAAAGAATGAAGAGGGGGCTGGGGCTGGGGCACAGTGGTAGAGCACTGGCCTAGCGTGCACAAGGTCCTGGGGATTACTGGGGAGTCAGTAATCCCCTTAAATTGGGGGCACACTTTGCAGTCTGTCATGGCATCCCTGGGATGGGGTCAGACCTTAATAAGCCTTGGGGGCCCTGCAGCTGATCATCCTTCATGCCTGCCCCTCCTTCTCCTCCATGTTCCCCAGGCCCCAGGGTTCTGTTACCCCGTCTCCTGCCCATCCCTTTGCAGCACATCTCAGAGTTTGAGTTGCTTGATGGTGTGATGCCTGCCTCAGCCTCAGTGTCCCCCGCTGGATTTTAGATCCACAGGGTCACTTCTGCCACATTCTGCATATCCCCGGGCTCAATCTGATGTTGTAGGTGCCCAGTAAATGCTTGTGGAAGGGGCCGGGAAGTGGCTGCCAGAAAGTGTGGCTCTGGCACGGGCCTCGGGTAGGCAGTGTGGGGGTTCTGCTGGCCTGAACAGCAATCCCACCACAGCTGTGAGCAGACTCAGAACCCAGCCTCTCTGTGACCTATGTCAGGCCACGCTCTTGGCATCCTGGGGGTGTTGTCACCAGAGCCACCAGTGGGCGGATGAGGAGACAGACAGAGGCTTGGACGGGTGGACTAGATGGCCTTGGCAGTGAGAGGGCATTCCCTGGGGGACCCGCCTGTCTGTTGAACACCTGCTCCCCGCCATTTCCTTGGAAGCCTCCAGGAGGCTACCATCCCTCTTTCAGCACCTCGTCTAATTGCTGCCCCCTCCTACCTATTTTCTGATGCTTTTTGACTTCCTTGATGTGGTCTTTTGCCGGGAGTTGTGATTCCACCCCCCACCCCCACCCCCGCAGGCAGGCAGAGGGGCTGCTCCATCAGGAGGCCGGCCTGGACCGAGCCTGGGTGTGCAGGCGTCCTGCGGCCGGCAGGAGGAGCCCGTGAGCTGCGAGCAGGGACCAGCGCTGCCCCGCAGAGAAGCCCGGGAGCTGGCTCTGGGTTTTCTGCCTGGTGTGGCCACAGGGATGGCCCAGCCCAGGAGGCGGGGCTGCAGCAGGGGACCCACCCCGCTGACCCGGAATCCCTGAGTAGGTGGGGCCCTGGCCCCCACTCACTAGCTCTGTGACCAGGGGTGGCTTCCCAACTCCCTAGGCCCAGTGTCCTAATCTGTAGAATGGGCAAAAATCCGTGGGGTGCCCTCAGTCAGTGCCGGGGGGGATGTTGACAACAGGTGCCAGATCTGCTTGGTTCTGTGGCACTTTGAGGACAGTTCTGCTATTCCCAAGTCATGATGTTGAGGTGACCTTGGTAAGGTAACAGAGGGTGCCCACCTCCTGGCTTACGTGTGAGGTGGCAATTATTCTGCTAGGGACGTTTTAATCCTCATCTGCAAAGGAGGAAATGAGGGACCCGCAGAGATGGGGACACGGCTAGAAAGTGGCCACACTGAATTCTGAACTGAGAGGTCCCAGGTGTCCGAACAGTCCCTCAGCCTCCCCTGCCTCAGTTTCCCACTTGGAACTCAGAGATTGGGGCAGGATGTTCTGGGGACTCTCGGACACTCAGCCCTAGGATGTGCCCTCCCCACTGGCCGTGGGAAGGACAGCCTGGAGGGCGAGAGTGCCCTGGACTGCCCCCCCTGACTCTCCTCCCTGCCCGCCCCGCCCCTGCAGCCTTCCTGAAGGGCCTGAGTGACAAGCAGAGGGAGGAACATTACTTCTGCAGAGACTTTATCCGGCTGAAGAAGATCCCGACCTGGAAGGAGACTGCAAAAGGTAGGCCCTGCCACGGCCGGCCCGGTGCCCTTGGGCTGTGGCCCCTTCGGCGTGTGGCCTGGAAGAGTCATGCAGATGAGAAGCAGCCGATGGCATGGACCGGTGGAGGCTTGCTGTGTGTGGGACTCTGCCGGTGGGTGTCGCCTCACTTAATGATTACACAGCCTGAGACCAGTTTAGTTTTTATTCCCATGACACCACTGGGGAGCCAGCCCCAGGCCATATAAGCCACCTGCCCCTGATTACTTGGCTGTCGGGAGCCAGGTTTGAAGCTTGCTTGCCGTGGGGGGTGGGCTGGTGAGCTCCCGGACTCTGCGAATGCTGGCCTGGTAACCGGTAACCTGGGACAGGTCACTTATCCCACCTACACCTCGGTTTCCACATCTGTGAAGTGGGGGTGGGCGGCACGATGTACTTGCTCATGGTGTCATGAGAGGCCACAAGACCTTGTGTTGCATCCTCACTCAGGGTGGGATGTCATCGCCAGCCTCAGTGGTCACCATGCTGCAGACTGCCACAGTGGGGCTGCACCTGACCTGTGGGCCCTGCCTTGGTCGCTCTGCAGGGGAGGCCTCCCTGTGACCCCTGTGGCTCCTACCTATTCCAGGGGTGGCAGCAAAGGTGGAGGAGCCCAAGTTCAAGAAGGACAAGCAGCTCAATGAGAAGATCTCCCTGTTCCGTGGTGACATCACCAAGCTGGAGGTGGATGCCATCGTCAACGCCGGTGAGTGACTGGTCCGAGACCTGGTGGCTGCATAGCCTTCGCTCTGGTCTGCTGGGCTGGACGCGGGTGGGCGCCACCTGGCTCCACAGAGGCTCCCGATGGGGCGAGGAGGGCTGCTGGCGCCGCCGGAGCGCAGCGCGTCGGCCACTTGGGCTCCTCTTCCCTTGAAACCCTGACCCGCTGTGTCGGGGGCGCCTCGCTCGCTGGGCCGCCTCGCAGCTCCGAAAGCCATTAGCGGCTGGCGAAGGGAGAGAGCCGGGCTGGAACGGTGCCCGGCGGCCCTGCCAGGAAGGCCGAGGCCCAGCCGGTCGTCCCGGGTGGGGGCTGCAGCTGCCCCCTCCTCTGCGTGGCCGCCCTGCCCCCTGCGGCCGGCAGGTGAGGGAGCTGGGAGCGGGTGGAGAGGCCTCCCGCGGCCCCTGGCAGCCCTCCAGCGCTTGGAAACGCGAGCGGCTGGCTTCCTGGTGTCCCTCGCCTCTTGCTGGCGTGGCAGTTTATTGTGATGATACAGAGGCGGGAGGGAGAAAGGTGCCGCTCCTCTGCCCGGCCCTACCGTCTGGCTGAGTCGAAGGGCTCTGGGAAAGGACCCGGGTGCTCAGGAGTGGGGCGCCAAGGGCAGGCCAAGCCCCGCAGGTGCAGGGGGTGCTTCCTGGGCCAGGTGTGCTGCACCCCAGCGCTGGACGCCTGCTCCCTCTCTCAGCAGACGCCGCACCCGGCATCAGAGGAGGGCACCTCTTAGAGGCTGGTGACACCAAGGCAGGCCTTCTTGGTTTGGGCTCCAAGTCGTGGAGACCCTTGCCCCACCCATGCAGGTCCAGGACAGCCCGGGGTTCTGGAATCTCCTCCCTCTCACCGCTGGGCTTGACCTCAGTGCCAGAGAGGGGGCCAGTGGGTTGCGCTGAGTGGGCCCAGGCCTCCTTAGGTGACTGGGCTTGCAGGGTCCAGGCAGAGGGGGCTGCTCACTGTGTCCCCGGCCTCCCTGTCTGGTCTGCAGTGTTTCCGGCAGTGGCATTGCTCAGCTGTCTCCCTATGGGGTCTGTGGAACTGCTCTGTCCCTGCACATGGCCTGGTGGGTGCACAGGTGACAAGTCACACACAGGCAGGAGTTCCCACTCGGAGTGGCTGGTGGGGAGAGCTGGGAGGTCTTTGTTGCTGCTGGTGGTTTTGGTGTATCTCCCTTGGGCCACTTGCCCTTGGTGGGTGGCAGCAAGGACTGTGAGTCTGTCTAGGCAGACAGAACTCAGACAGCCACTTCTGGGTTGGCAGATGTCCTGGAGGCCCAGGGAAGAAGAGCAAGGTCTTGTGCCGGGAGGGGCTGGGCTGACCCTGGGGGTGATCATGAAGGTCATGGGGCTGCCCAGTCATTGGCGAGGGTGCAGAAGGGGCCCTCTGGTCCTTTTCCTGCTGAGTTGTGGTGACCAGAGGGAGACACTCTCGTGAGCTCCTTCCCAGCCCACCGGTGGACGGCTGTGTCGTGGACCACGGAGGAGGACCCTGGCGGGTATCAGCAAGATGCAGATGGAGCGGGCTGGGGGCTCTGGAGGCTACAGGCATGATTAATGGCCCTTCCTAAGTGCCCTGTGACTGGCCAGGCTGGGTGCAGCAGCTTGTCAGCTGCTCATGAGAAGCATCCGCCGCTGGCTGCATCTCGCTGCCCGGGGCTGGGGCGAGGGTCGTAGCTGCCTGGCCGTTTCCTCTCCTGCACAGGGGATGGTAGTGGGGCACCTGTGCCATGGGTGTGTGGTGTGTGCCAGCTCACGCTGTTCCGTTGAGGCCCTTGGCATCATCCTGAGCACCATCCCTGTCCCTAGGATCCCAGGCACTTTGCACTGCCTCCCTCCCCGGAAGGTGATGGGCTTCCATCTCCCTCTGCTTGCCTCAGTTTACCCCGCCCTGTTGGCCTGTTTTCCTGGGATCTCCTTTTTCTAGTCTCAGCCAAGAGGACCTAGAACTTGTCCTGGAACCACGGGGACTGGCTGAAGCAGGCCTTGGACATGGGTTCCCCTGCAGAGCCTGGGTGTGGGGTGTCCTGGCAGCCGCGGCCCTGGTCAGACCTGGGGGGGGTCCTCAGTCTCGGGGTCCTGGCGCTGTGGCTCCGCCCGGCGTGCCGCCCGCCAGGGGGCGGCAGAGCTCGCGGCTGCGGCCAAGCCCATCAATCAGCCTGTTTATTAGCGGAATAAAAGTCGTCGGCAACGCGGGGCTTTTCGGGGCTGCATAAATCTGCGTCTGTGCCTCGTGAAACCCATATGTGCTTAATTCATATGTAAAGTTTCAAGCAGGAAGAGAATACGTGTCCATTAAATTCTATTTGACTTGATTATAATCATTAGCCGTGAATAATTGCTTCTCAGCGCCGACCGCGGAGCCACCACAATAGGCAAAAGGAGACAGCGATTATCTCGGGTGGGAATTTTTAAGTCTTTATTTTTGAAGCCATGGGCAGTGCTGGCCCTGCGGGTGTCGGTGGCCCCCGGGGTGGTGTGGGTGTGGGCTGGCTGGGCCTGGAGATCTGGATAGAGCTTCTGGATTTTGTGCGGAGGGGTCTCTCTTTGTCCCTGCTACCAGGTGGGGAGGGGTGTCACTGGCTGGGTCTGGCTCAGGGACCCTGTAGGGAGGCATGGGGGGCTGCGAGGGAAAGGGGGATGGGGACTCCCAGGCTGTGGGCTTCTCCTTCTGTCTAGGGCCCAGGGGGCTTGCAGAGGGGACACCGTGCCCCTCCCACTTCAGGGGGGAGGGGGGACGGAGGCTCCACCCAGAGGCCCCCTGCAGACTTTGGAAAGGGGACTGTTTCCCACTGGCCCCCTGGCATCCCAAGCCCAGCACTGGTTTTCACCCCACTTTATTGGTATGTGTGCTGCTGTGGGGGGCATGATGGTGGATGGGGGTTTGTACATGAGAGAGAGAGCTATGCCAGGTGGTACGCAGTAAGGGTGAGGGGGCAGAGAACAGAGTGGGGTATCTGGTGGGTGGCAGGGCTTGAGGTCGCAGGAGCATACTTGGGGACAGACCTTCCAAGTCTGTGCAACAGTCACACCTCTGCCCTCCCCACGGGCTGGTGGCCAAGGCCACTTGCTAGGGCAGTGCCTGGGAGAATCTCAGGCTCCTGCCATCTGTGCCCGCCACGGCTCCTGCCCGTGGGGGCATGCCACATCCATCTTAATTAAATTGGGCTGCCATGCTGGCAAGATAAGCAGGGAGGCCCTCACCCACCCCGTTCCTGTCTGCCTGCTTCTCCAGCTTGGCCTGTGACCCCAGCACTGTGCCCTAGGGGAGCTCAGGTCTGGGGGTCTCCATCCTGGGAGCCCATGGCGTCCGAGTATCGGTGTCTGTTTTGGCCCTAGGGGCATGACCTTGGCCCAGCCGTCTCCACGCCTGGAGCCTCTGCCTCCCAGGCCTGTGCCAGGCCCCTGTTCCTGACAGACAGCTAAGGCCCAGGCAGGAAATGTCTGGGGCACACAGACCTCCATTCTTGGTCAAGCCAGGGGTCTGGCTCTCCAGTTTGGGCCTTGGGGACACAATGGGCAACGAGGAGATGAAAGTGATGCTTTGTGTAAAGACACAGGGGTCTTCCCTTCAAAGCAGTCCCAGCCCAGCGCCGTCACTGAGAGTGCCAGAGGCCCGGGTGGGCTGGAACCCCAGCTCTCCTGCTGGCCCCTGCCCCTCAGAGCCTCATCTGAAGAATGGCGTCCAGCTGGGCACAGTGTGCCTGTAATCCCGGCAGCTGGGGAGGCTGAGGCAGGAGGACCACAGGTTCAACCAGCCTCAGCAGCCTAGTGAGGCCCTAAACAACTCAGTGAGGCCCTAAACAACTCAGTGAGGCCCTGTTTCAAAATAAAGAAATATAGGCTCAGTGGTTAAGTGCCCCTGGGTTCAGTCTGCGGTACAAAAAAAAGAGTGGCACCCCGCCAGCCCCATGCCAGGGTGGGTGGGAGGATGACGTGTGGGCCCAGCCTGGGAGCCCGGGTAGATTAATACTGGGGCAGTCGGGCCAGAGCAACTAAGTAGAAGATAATGTGAAAAGGCCCGGGAGGGAGGTCTGAATCAAGTGCGGCGTGCTGCTGCAGGGACCAATTAATTCTTCAGGAGGTGGCCGGAGGCGAGGCGGGTCGGGGAGGTCTTTGTGGGGTCTGGGCACCGGGCTGGCCTCGAAGATCTGGTGGGAAGCTGCGTTTCACAGCGATGAGTGGCCTCACAGGGGGTCGGATAAGCTGCTTATTTATTTAAACTTTGGCGAGGAGTGGCGCTCCAGCCGGGGCCCCTGCAGACCTGCAGCCCTCACCCGGCCCAGGCTCTCCCAGCCCTGGCTTATCCCCCTGCTGCCCGGAGGGGGGACCCGCGCATCAGGAGGCCGCGACCACCGAGTGGCCACCGAGCGGCCACCGAGCGGCCCCGCCCCTGCTCCCAGCTGTCCCCTGGCCGCTGCTGTGGAGTGGTGATTTAGAGAGCGCCTTGATGGACTGGCAGGCAGGGGGGCCGCAGGGACGCGACTGCCTGGTGGAAGTGATCTGACGCTAAACTGTCGCCGTAAATCGCTTTATCTGTCACTTCAGATTTAAATGTGTTTGCTGAGGCTTGCCGGCCGGCCGCGAGGCAGCGGAACCCTCCGGCAGCAAGCGAGGGCGGCACAGGCCAGAGTGGCAGGCGCGTGGCCAGCAGCGACGGGGCGGTGCTAGCAGCTCCTGATCCTGCTGGGCCCTGGCTGCCTCCTCCAGGCTCACCCAGCACAGAGAGGGGACGGCCAGGCAGGTCCTCGTCGCCGGGGGGTGGGCAGGGTCACCCCATGTGGGTGTTCAAGCTGAGGAGCATGGGGAGAGCCATGACATGCCCCACCTGGGCAGGTGACAGGTGAGTGGTGGCCTTTGTCCATTCATCCAGCAAGTCTCCATGGTGGGCCTGCTGGGCACCATGGGACACCTGGGCCTCAAACACACTCAACCCCTAATCCCAACCCCAGTGGGGGGGGGCGGAGGGCAGGCAGCAATCCTGAAGGCTGCCTGGAGGAG